TTAGTAATTAATATCTTGTTAACTATTGCTGACACCGCAAAATGGTACAGGACTTTTTGATTCAGTATAGGCTGTTCTACCCACGTATGATAAAAAATGCGGTAGTCGCCAAACACCCTGTATAATTTTCACCGCGTGACAAAAGTTGAACTCAATCCAACTTTTGCCGCGCGGCGAAAGTAGTATTACAACAAACAAAGTGGGACCGATTTGAGAATTGTAGACTAGTGCAACAATTTCCGCCGCGCGGCAAGCGTTGCCGCGTTCTGTGCGCAGGAGCCATATCGAGCGGCCAGAGCGTTTCTCTCGGCATGCTCTCATTAGTGCAATTGCAAAAATTAATATCTCGATTATTATTGCCAATATCGCTAAATGGTAAGGGACTTTTAGTTCATCTTGATCCCATCTGCCTTCCTGCGAATAATGGTGGGAAAAGTATCGCGGGACATTCTGTAATAAGATACTAATCTCAGGAAAAAAATGAGCGGCTTTCGGAGATACAGAGTCAAAATGGTCAAATTTCTACTGTTCTTAATATTGTTCAAGCTATAAAAAGAAAGTTTATGTGGTTTCTGCAATATAAGCCATTACCTAAACTTTAAGCCATAAGAGATTGACCAATCACAGTCGAATGTGAGAAGAATAATTGACTATGATTGATTAATTTCTTACGGTTTAAACCATAAGTCTGGATCACGGTGTAAGAATAATAGGTGATTCCACTCATGTAAAATCACTGTAATTTTCCTGAGGAAACTCCGCAGTTGAACAGCAGGTGGCGTATATATGTAACACCTAACCTCATAAGCCCTGGGAAAAAATGTTTTACACATAATTATATAAAATTATATATAAATATATGTAATTATATATAATTATATGTAAAAAATGTTTCCCGGGGCGTTTCAAGGGACAGAAGTAAGATTAAGGTAAGTGACAACATAATAAATCATTTTATTATTTATTAGTACTCTTATTTATACACATGATTGGTGGGACAATTAGGAAGATCGTGAAAGTTGTGGAAGAGGACATGCTGTAGATTTTAATCATGAAAGAAACGCCATTTGAACGACTGTGAATTGGAAAGATTGCAAAGGCCATTAGGACTCAGACCATTATGCCCTCTAGTATTACGTGTCTGAACTGCCTCAATTTCGTCACAGTTTTTGCGGGTAGAAATGGGCGAGTGGAATCACCTATTATTCTTACACCGTGGTCTGGATTTACAATAGATTCAAGCCTCAAGTCGTAAGCAATTTACCAATTACAGTCGAATGCGAGGAGAATAATTGACTATAAATCGTCTATTTCTCATAATTTAAGATTCCTAAGTAGTCATCACAACCATATCGAATTATGATGTCTCTTATAAAAATTTTTCACCGCTTTTAGCCCGTTTTTAGCCCGCGCAAACGATTAATTTGAGTGGTGAAAACGTGCATTTTACTCAGTGAGTATGACTCCGTTTTTAGGTTGCAAACAGGAACTTTTCCATAAAAATGAGTGGTTAAAACGGATTGCACTCATGAAGGACACGAGTATATCTGAGTGGCAAAAACGTATACATTACGAGTATTTTTAAGTGATAAAAACGTAAATTTGAGTGAAAAAACTTATACAAGTGCAAAATACTCATTCAGCACTCATCACTTACACGTTTTCACCACTCGAAATTACTCGTCGTAAGGCATAACCGATAGCACGAGAAAATCAGCTCCGCTCCTGTTGAGATTCGAACCGAGGCCTCCAAGTCTACTCTACGAGGCTGCCACTTTTCCACTGAGCCACACAACTCCTATGTCGATATTCGCTTACTTATGTACTTCTTATATGAAAGATTATAATTATTATATAGTACACTATTAAAAATATAACCACGAGCTTCCTTTACATATAAATAAAGCTTGTGTGGTTATGAATGAAATTAAAAGTAATGAATGATTTAACTGAAAATTAAGTTACAGTAGTTACTAAATTTATGAAATTTAATGTACTTTTAATAAAATTTTATGAAAAATACATTAAGTTTCATAAATTTTCATGAAAAACACATTAATTTTTATGTATATATGTACACAAATATACTTTTTAATTACAAATACATTAAATTTGATGTAATGTCATGAAATTAATTTCAAATTGT